GTCGTGTGTCCTTCCTGCCGGCCGGGAGCGGACATCGACATTTGGTGGCCCGTACGGGGACTGATCACCCCCGCGACGTGGAAGTGGACAACGCTCCAGTACAGAGCTGCGAGACAGGTGAGTTGGGGATAAGCCTGGGCTCTGGGTGGCGCGCACCTACAGGGCTTTTAGACTCCCCTCAGGCTCACGCGTAAGTGGCGGATTCCTTGGGCCTCACGCGGTGAGTAACATTAAAAGATGGGAAACATGTTAGGTAGCAACACTAAGAGCGAGGGTGGTTGTGGAGAAAGCTCTCAAGAGCTTACAAAAGTACGCAGGGTATCTGAGCAGGCCCAGTCAGGGAGCTCCCGAGAGGGGTCCGTCAAGGGGAACAAGGATGCTAAGGAGGAGGACGGGGCTCTAGCCTCGGAGTCGTCTGACTCCGAGGACGAGGGAAAGTTGAATGGCAAGGAGGCCAAAGAGACCAGCTGTCAGGAGCCCAAGTCGCTCGATAAGGAGTCGCAGGGTTCTTTTCCAGCGTTGCCCCGCGAATTGCGCTCTGCTCAACCTGGTCTGCGGAGGAGTAGAGAGCTCCTGAGCGCTCCCCGGCGCGAGAGGGAGGCGAAGCCTTCCGCCCCACCTTGGGGGCCGTTTCCGGAGGCGATCCCTCGCCACGAGGCGGCCGCCTGGGAGCTCCCTCCCCTTTCGCCAGAACAGGAAGTGATGCACGGGCCCCCATTTTCCGCCCAATCACGGCCGCTGTCTTATGCTCCGCCACCGGCGGGTCGGTATTTTTACAGGCGGCTTTGGCAGGGGGGACGCTTGTCTCATGAGGTACATCCACCTGGGATAGATAGTGGCCCCTACGGGATATTTCCTGTACAAGTAGCTATGGGCCAGGGACGCAATGCATGGGAGCCTTTTGAGATAAAGCAGATTAGAGAACTTAAAAATGCAGTTACAACCTTTGGGCCGACTGCGCCTTACACCATTGCCATGCTGGAGAATCTGTCTTCTGGGCCCCTCACCCCCGCGGACTGGATTCAGCTAGCAAAGGCGTGTCTGCCCTCGGGCAGTTACCTGGATTGGCGAGCCTGGTACACAGAGTTCTCTGCCGAGCAGGCTGAGAAAAACGCCGGTCGAGGAAAGTGGGGCTGGGGATTTAGCTCAGCGGCATAAGCGCCTGCCTTGCAAGCAGGCAGTCGTGAGTTCAATCCCTGGTACCGATAAAAAGGAAAAAAACCAAAAAAAAAAAAAAAAAACGAAAAAGATAAAAATAAAAAATAAAAAACAAAAAGGGGGAGTAGGCCAAGGCCTGGCCCCAAAGGCACGATTATCCATGGCACTATTCACACACAATTTTTTAAATTTAAATAATGATAATCGCTCCCCAGCTGTGGAGCACTGCAACCCTTCCCCCAACCATAAAGGGTGGGTGAAGTGGAAAGATGTCCTGACAGGACAATGGATGGGCCCGGATCCAGTGGTCAGCTGGAACCGAGGCGCGGTTTGTGTTTTCCCACAGGAACCGGGACGAGAACCACTGTGGATACCGGAGAGACTGACACGGGCAACAAAGCCCTCGACTGAAGATCAGACCTGCCCTACCGGAGATCCATCACAGACCAACCAATAAGATGAATAGAAATAGCGGTAGCCCGAAATGGACAAGAAGATCCTCAGGCATATGCATGGCTTGCTCAATTGGCCCACGACCGAGTCTAGATATGGCGGGCATCCCTCATTCTCCTCCATAAGGTGACAATACATAGCAGGGTAGATGAGTCAATGACGGGTAAGAGCGTGCCTCCCCAGCATGACTCGACCTAAGCCAGGCCCTACCCCATCCTGCACGTAAGCCGCTGGACTGTTAGATGCTGCCCAGGTCTAAATTTCTCTCCGAGGGGATTTCTTTACGGAGAGAGAATGAGTGCAAGCTTGTGTGCATCCAGGTTCCGTCCAGTTTGTGCCTGGCCCTAGAAAAAGGACGAGGGCCTCAGGGCCTTGGCAGACCATGGGACGGCCGACCAGGGTCTAAGCCAAGGACCTACGGTGGGCCTACGCATAGGGCATAAGCCTCTGCACCCAGTCCAGGAAGGGCTACGATGCGCACATTCATAAAAAATAAAAAAGGGGGAGATGTTGGGAGCCGCAGCCCCGAGCCCGGTCGCCTCACTTGGCGGACGTGAGGCCTGTAGTAAAGAGTGAAGCCTGAGGTAGATTGCCCCTCCCATCGAGCACGTTAGTTTCCTGCTTACCGCGTAAACAACCCGCTCAACAATATAGTCTGCCTGGCAACTGATGATGTTAGCCAATCAGCTTGCCTTGCTTACTTTAACATGATTGGACACTGTACCCGTATATATACCGGTGCCACCCCTGGGCGGAAGAAGAAGCCAGGTAGAAGCCCGGAAGTAGAAGCCCAGAAGGAGCCGCAGAGAGCGGACCGGTAGAGGCTTCGGAGCGAAGCCCGGAAGGAGCCGCGGGGAGCGGACCAGAAGAGGCTTCGGCTGGGAGCGATCCCAGGGCAGGCTGTACGGAGAAGGAAAATAAAAAGAAAAGGTTGTCCACTGCCAGACTTTGTCGTGTGTCCTTCCTGCCGGCCGGGAGCGGACATTGACAGCTCCCAAAAAACAAATGTGAGCCAGGTGGAAGGGAGGGAGAGCCATGTTCCACACGTTGGCTGGGATGAGCCTCCAGATAAGAAGCTATGACTTCCCACGGCATAAAAAAATTACACATTAGGGCTGGGATTTAGCTCAGCAGCATAAGCGCCTGCTCTGCAAGCGCATGGTCGTGAGTTCAATCCCTGATACCGATTTAAAAAAAAAAAAATTACACACTAGAGCTGAAGCACAGACCCCAAAAACATACTAGGCTGGGGATTTAGCTCAGCGGCAGAAGCACCTGCCTTGCAAGTGTAGAGTCGTGAATTCGATCCCCAGTAACAAACAAACAAAAACAGTAGATACAGCCTTGAATTATGTTAATGCAGATTAGTCTTTCTGCATAGCTCTCTCTGCATATTGCAGAGGTGAGTGATTTCAAGCCTCCCACCTAGCCCAGCTCACAGCACTCAGGCACTTCCCACCTCTCACAGTCACTCATCCTCAAACCACTCCCTTCTTCATGAATGAATAAAACCTGAGTTTGGCCCTGGGTGAAGGCCTTCGTTCCAGTTAGCCATCACCATAGCTGGACTTAGGGCCCCTTTCCCCACACTACAGATATGCCTTAGTGTCTGTTCTTGCTGCGGGTTGCACTGGAGTGATAGAAAGGAATTAACTCACTGGAATTCCAAAAAATTTTCCATGACATTATAAACTTAAACTTCCCGGACCATGACAAGGACCTCTCTATAATAGGAAATATGCTTTTATACTTAGTTTTATCTAGCTCTGCTTCTGAACATATAGAAAAGTTTCCTGTGAAGAATTGATGAGAGCTAACAGGCAATTCATGCTTAGATGTCTGGTCCAAGCCTTTGTCCAACAACTGGAAAATGTTTTCATCGTCCCCTTTCTCCATTTTCAAAGGACAGAGGCCAGAACTATGGAGTCTCAGTAGTCTCCACTGTTCCTAGGGCCCAAGCTCAGAAACCTGAGGAATACGACAGACCTTATAAATGCTGTCATCGCCACCTAGAGGTGAAGGGAAGACATGCGCAACTAGTCAGAAGCTTTGGTTTATGTGCTGTCACTCTGGATTCTGGTCACGGCATATATCAAAAGAAATAAGGGTATAAAATAATCATAATATCACGCAAGTCAGGCACGGTAGCACACATCTATCATCACAATCATTCTGCAAGGCTGGCACAGAAGGATCACAAGTTTGAGCCTAGCCTCGGCAACTTAGGGAAACCTTTTCTCCAAATAAAAATTAAAATGGCCTGGAATGTAATTCTAATCTCCAGTACGGAAAAAATACCAAAACGTAACAGTAATCAGAATTTAATAACATGTACTAAAGCTCTTATGCATAAAGGGGGATATTAAAATTAAGTTCTGTGTGGGCAGAGATTATATCTATTTTATCGCCCGTACACATCATAGGTAGTCCTTTATCCATAGTATTTTCTATCTTCAGAGTGTATTTTCTAATAAATAAATATGCACAGACCATGCTTTATGGCTTGTCATGACTGCCGACAGAGGCAAGCCACCTCCTAAGTTGCCATGCTCTACAACATGCAGACCTCAAGTACACAAGAACTTCAGGGCAAACAGGCAGGAAAGAAGGCGGGGAACGAGAGGGAGAGAAGGTGGGAGGAAGGGAGAAAGGAAGGAGGGTAGTTTTTTGGTGAAAAGTTATACATAGCAAAGTTACATACTTATTTTAAATAATTTAAAGGTTTTACAGAAACAATACTGTCTATGAGCATGCGAAACAAAACTTTAGATTATTAGAACTTGAATTTAGTTTTGTAGATTGTATTATCTTAAAACCTACAAACCATCTCAAGAAGAAAACCATGTACACATGACCACTGCAAAGTATATAATGGACACAGCAAGGAGGCGGAAAGGGGGGAAAGGAGCTACGCCCTAAACATAGGAGAGATGAAAGTTCAGTGAGCCAGTTCCAAGCCTCGCTCCACTCAACCCCAGCTAGGTGATCTCACAAAGTGACGGGAAGCTCCCTCACCTCTGTCAGTCCCAATTTCTTCAGCTACAAAAATGCATCCACTATAAGACTGCTGTGAAGATTAAAATAAAGGCCTGGTTTATGACAGGTAAACAAATGGGGCAATTATTTTAATACCCTAAGTCTCCCTAACATTGCATTGCATGAAAAAGAACCAGTGACCTAGATCACTGCCAGGTGTGGTGGCACTGGCACACAGTTGTGTGGGTGTGAGAGTGAGACTGCGCAGCATTACAAATGCTTTCTGCCCTCAGAAGCTGACACTGGGTATACTCCGTTTTCCTGAAAGAAACAGCCTGATCCTAAAACACTCTTTCATGGATCCACTCTGACACACCCTATTGAGCTCTCCATTCAAAACCAAAGTGCCTTACCTAGCCAATCCTTCTTCATAGAGATAGATGACAAGAGGATCATAGGAAGTCACGAGCACATAGAGGCGCACATCAAACTTGAAATCTAGAAAAAAAAACAGTTGGGATTCTCAGGAAAAACAGTTCTTTTGACAATGACCAGGACAAAGTAAACAACTATGAAAGAAAGAGCATTGTTCTTCATAAGAAGCACAGAAGACCCACACATCTTCCTTTCTGCAGATAAATGATAAGAACTGTATAAGTGTGTATGCCTGTATTATTATATTGTGTGAGTATATATATATTATTTTCATAGAGAACTGAGGCCTGTACAGCCTATAAAGTATTTCATCATTTGGGAGCAGTACTGGGGACTGAACCAAGAACTGTGTTACACTGAACCTCTGCACTGTGTTACATCTCCAGTTCTGTTTATTTTTTGAGGCAGAGTCTTGCTAATGTGCTAAGCTTCACAGGATGAGCTTGAACTCCTGATCCTCCTGCCTCAGCTTCCCAGGGTGCACTGTGCCCAGCATTATCTTATTTTACCTTCATTATCTTACATTATCTTATTTTACCTTCAAAATAATCCCTGATGGTAGGTAAGGAACTAGCCTGCCTCATCTCTGAAGCTAGGGATGCCAAAATTTTCATACTAGCTTAAAAAACACTAGGGAAGACCATGAAAAGGTTAAAAAGTTTAGCAGGATCTAGCCCAACATAGCCCAGAGTTTAATCATAACTCACCATCTATGAGCAGGGGGTTGTTAATGTAACGGGAGACCAGGATGTTCTCTTCCAGGGAAATCTGGTTTGGCTATTGAGTAAACAAAAAGAATAAAAGGGTAGAAAATGTAAAGGAATTCTAATTTATAATAAAGGAGCAAAGTTCTTAACCTTTTGAGAAATAATGTGGAAAACTAAAACTCTAGGAAAAGTTTTCCTCTGGGTACCCAAATATTCAACTGGCCACATAGCAGCCCACTTCTATAAACACTATGGGTATTCAATTACAATGAAGGAAAATAAAGTTACACAGCATCTCACATAATAAATACAGCCAGAACAGCTATAAAGATTTATAAACATGAAATTAAGTAATTACATATCGAGAAAACAAGAGCTACTTAAAAATATAAAATTTGCTCCTTCCAAAAGGTAAAGTACAGTGAAAATTTACAAAACACTCCCACTGTTCATAAACTCAGGCGCTCACTGAGTTGTTTGGAGAACATGCAGCTCCCTCACGGGCCCAGCATTTCCCTGTGAAAGGGAAGGGGTATTCGGTTGATTCATTTAAGAGCACTTGCTAAACAACTGTGTACAAAAACTGAATTAGATTGTTTAAAGGTTTCTTCAATGAAGAAAAGTTGTTTATACACTAAACTGTGGGTGCTATTGGACACCATGCAAGGCACTGGAGGATGCAGTGATGGAGAAATCAGATACAATCTCGGTCCTCACAGAACATGAGGTTTAGCAGCCCTGTTTCTCAACAGATTAGTATTTAGGCAGAAGAAGAGGAATGCATACGTGATGCAGAAGAAGAGGAATGCATACGTGATGCAGAAGAGCCAAAGCAACAATTCTTTGGAAGATGTCGGGTTGCCAAGCGGACCAGTAAGGTGGGATCACTCTGGGAAGGCTTGCCTGGGAAGAAGTGAGTCTGAAAGCTACCAGGCATGTGGCGGGGAAGAAAGGAGGCCATGGATGGCCCACAAAATCCCCAACACAGGAGCACAGGCTGATTCATGGGCCTGCGGCTGAAACTTGGACCTCGACATAAAGGGGGTGTTAAACAACTAGGAAGAGGGACCCTACCAGCAAAGGGATCTAAACATCTCTCAAAGGAGTTTTGATTCAATATGGTGGGAAGCAGGAAGTTATTATAGATTCTAGATTAAGAAAACAGGTTAAAAAATCAGAAATAGGATCCCTCTTTTATAATTAAGACAGAGAAATCAGCTGCAAACATGCAGGAAAAAGAGCTCCAAAAGACAAATGGCAATTAATAATTAGGATGATAATAGTTACGGAAGCAGGGGTTGGGGATTTAGCTCAGCGGCATAAGCATCTGCCTTGCAAGCAGGTGGTCGTGAGTTTGATCCCCGGTACTGGTAAAAATGAAAAAGACAAAAAAAAAAAAAAGTTACGGAAGCAGCTGAGAAATAACTGTTAACATTTGGACCCTCAAAATGTAGTAAGCATCCACTGATGCTGAGCATACACTATGTGCCAATGGCTGTTCTAAGTGTCACAAGTATGATCTGATTTAATCCTGACCCAACCCCATGAGACAGGTGTACACTTCAGAGATGAGGAAAGAATCAGAGAAGTTAGAGACCTGCCCAAAGTCACACTAATAAGTGATAGAGCAGCATTGGTGCCCCGGGGGTCTGCCTCAGAGCTTTAACTTTTCAGCACTATTTTGTAATTCTCCCCGTACTGTCCCCCACATTCAAAAGTTTTTCTTTGTAGTTAAGGTGTTTCCCATCCCAAATACTAGTTATTCATAAAATAATGATAATTTTATGACCCATAACTTTACTCACAATCACAAAGAGCAACACTAGAGTCAAGACAATGAGCCTCCCCTCTCCCTTTCACTGTTGTGATCTCAGAGTGAAAAGGCGGCTTGCAAACGCCATCTCCACAGATCATCTGAACACGACGCCATCAGGGCTGATTCACCCAGAAGGGCCTCAGCTACCATACCGATTCCTGCCTCGTTTGCATTTCTTGATCAGCTTCTGACAAGGACTCTCTCCATCTGGAGTCAGCTTAGTAAGATTTGATATAATCATTAGACAAAGCAGTAAACCGTAGGCTGAGTCTCAAACCTAGAATTAATCCATCACAGCTATCTCCCAAGTGAGTAACCCTAAAAGCTACAAGAGCTAAATGACCACCCAACTCTACCTTTCCACAGACCACACCAGCCTGCATTCCACGGCACATCTAACGCTCAGCCCCACTTTCCTTTCTGACACTTATCCATCAAGTTACACATAATACAAACCCTTCTGTTACTCAGGTAACCTTGGTATCTGTTCCATCATCTCTACCTCACACTGCTACCTACATTAGGAATTAAACTGTAACCTCACAAAATAAAAGGATAACTGGGTGTGGTTTCTTTGTCTAGTGCTGTACACAGACAGCTGTACAACAATAGTTGTGCTGTACAACAACTAATGAAAATCCTGAGCCTTATTTCCTTTGTATCAATGCTCTGTTAACTCATTTTAAATTATTTCAATTTCAAGCCCAAACTCCTTCTGTAGCGGGGCTAAAGCAGGAATCTGAAAATTTGGGGGAGCTGGAAACACCTTTCTTTTTCTAATTGGGCCTTAATATTAAAGCTCATGGTATCTGGTGAGTTATTGTGGAGTAGGACGGCACAGTGGTTAAGAGTGTATATTCGCTGAGGCAGTGCTCAGCAAAGCAGTGTGACCACGGCCCCTCACTCCTGCTCAGAGTACTGCCAGGGAAAAGAAACCACCGCTACAGCAAAAACAAGGCTGACGTGTAGCCCGCCTCTGGCTGTGGGGACACTGAGGACCTCACTCAGAAGGTGCTGGGCAGAGAGGCCCGGCACGGACAGAGATGGGAGCTGCTGACCTGGGTGGACGCCCTCGGGGAACTTTCCGAGTTCTCCTGTTCACCCAGGACTGGAGCAAGTGGGCACATAGCCCCAGATTTCTGAGCTCACAATGTGTCCCAGGGTTGCGTGGGACCCACAAGGTCGTGAGGGCCAGCCCAGCAGCGGGCTGTTCTAACCTTCGAGCATCGTGCTGGTGGCCTGGGCCTTGCTACGTATAGGGTGGGGACCATGAGCAGACTTTTTACATGTGCTCTCTTATTATAAAAGTTTCACAGATTGTTTTTCTTTCTAGAAGTTGTGTTTTGTTTTTCACTGACTTAATGATAACAAATTTAATGTACATAATCGTTGTCTATGCATTTTAAGCTACACTGCTGGAAATGTGATGGGGACCTACTCATTTGTTTGTGTTACGAACTGCAAAGCAATCTGTTTGCAATGTTAAGTTTATTACCTGCTGCTGTATTTGTAAACAAAGACAAATGCTGCTTTAAGAAGTCATTATAATTAGGAACAGACAATAGATGTCATACTTGATATTTTTGAAGGTAAACCGGTTTGCTTTTGTGTACTCCACCTGAAGGCTTTTTTTAAAGATGTATTTTCACAGTTTAAAAAAAAAGTGTGTATATTCTGAAGTCAGCTGCACCTGAGTTACCACCTTGACAATAACCACCTAGTAGGTTTCTTATAAACATTAAATAAATTATATTTGGAAGGCACAGTGACATGGACATGTTAAACGCCCAAGAGATAGCAGTTACTGTTATCACTGCAAACTCAAGAGTACGCGTATGGTTCTAAAGGCTCAGTTCCACAGCTCAGCAGCATTCAGCGCAGCATCCCGCATCCCATTCTACCCGGAGCAGTACACTGAAGCACAAGAGGTGTGAGGCTTAGGAGAATTTCTTAAAAGGCTTTAAGCAGTGATAGGTAACACCTGGCACACATGAGCACTTCCTGAGTGCTGAACAATGAGAAAAACAAACACCATTAAGATAAAAACACAGACAGAGACACAAGGAAATACAGAATTGTATTCACACTCAGGGATAACAAGAGTAGCCCAACACTTTCTGGTACCCAAGATCTTAGGGAATATTTCACACTACAGTTGCCATGTGTGAGACAAGGATGGCTGAGCTGGACTACCAGAATCAAATTTGTGCTTTAATCAGAAAACACCAGGTCCTTCCTTCCCATGCTATGAATACACTAACGTGTAGTCACAGTTTCTGAAGGGGCCACAGCAAATGTAGCTTTGAGCCTTTATGGGGCATTTGTAGAGTTAAGGCCTATAGGGCATTTCTAGAGTTAGGCTTGTCAGCAACTAACAAAGATGCGCCCATTCCACCCGCAGGAGTCCACACTGTTCTCCTCAGCGTTACATAAACGTAATGCTTTTTTCTAGCCTTTATTCTGTTCTCCTAATGGTAAAAGTGGCTATTTGCGGATATTTTCCAAAAGGTTATGACTACTACAGGGCAGTTTTAATAAGAGGCTCTCTCCTGCCAGCGGGAAGATGGAGAAAGATGTTTTCATTTGGCACACACCTAAGCCCCTCGGCTGCCAAAGGCTCCCCCCACCAACACACACACCGGTCCCGCACACAGACCCTCCGGCCTGAGCACTTGCTCCCGCCCCTGCACATCTGAAAGGAAAGCAGGCAGCAGCCCTGGAAAGAGTTACTTCATCCAGCTGGCGGATGGATCACATATTCCACGGGACAGGGTCCAGGTATGGAAAAGAGGGATGGTCAGGCCTTCTGTGTGTGGAGAAAAAGGAGCATTAACCACACAGATCTGGGTAAAAGGTGATAAAATTCCAGTTGGTGGGGGGATAGGTTCCTCTTGGGTCCATATGTTGCCAGCTACCCTTGTGCCTGCTGGCATCTTACCAGGCTTCTGTCTGGCACCTCCACTAAATACCTAAAAGAATCAGATTCAGTCCAAAACTTCCCTGAGGGGGAGGGGATAGGCAAAAGGTCCTGCCAAGTTCTTTGATCTATGCAGGGGGTCTTCAGGGATTTGGCCTGCGGAGAGGTGGGAGGGAGAAAGAAACTCTCACTGCCAAATGTGCATTCTCCACCGACATGTCATTCCCTTTATGAGCCTCGACATCAGGGAAGAGTCAGGGCACGGGGTTCTCAGTCCCACCAAGAAAAGTTTAACTTTTCTATTCTTTCTGAGGTTAGCTTCAAGAGAACAAATCACCAGGGCAAAAGAGCATTCCAAAAGGAAAAAAGTCCCAGATGAGCTGGGAATCTATCCTATTCCTTTTGACTCATGTCTAAGAAAATAAAAAGCAAACTTATGCCACAGTTGACTTTCAATAGCAATTCCATTTGGCAGCTAACCTCAAACCCAAACTAGAGCCGTTTATGAGAGTCAAACAACATTGGAGCTCTTGGCACAGGGCTGAAGCAATGGCTGTCGGACAGGAGTCTTATGCCAAGGTCAGAGAGACAAGGACAGACAGAGCCAAGGCATGTGACCAGGTTTTGTGTCACATGAGACCCAGGGTCAAAAGCTTCCAGAGAGACCCAGGCCAGGTAACTGGACTTGTACATGGGGCCTGCTGCTGTACTATTTGCTCTATTCAAACCAGATCCTCTATTTATTGAGGACGAAAGGTCTGGTCATCATTGTTTACTGTACAGTTTTGAGTCCAGGCCACTTGTGAGGATTTTCCAAAGTGAAAGACGCCTCAGAAAGTTTGTTTCTGCTCACATAGGAAATAGCTCAATGTGCAAAGATAAGTGTAGAATTTAAGATGGAGTACTGGCCACACACACAAAGTATCTATCCCCATTTACCCTTTCCTTGGAAGGACAGAAAGGATATTTTCAGAAGAATGAAATGATAACAAGGCTAGAAAAAAAAAAGTAAAATGAGCCAAAAAACAAAACAAAACAAAACACCAAAAGTTTAAGCAAATTCTAAAAGTGGATCAGACTGAAAAAAAACAGTAGAGGAAGTCCTAGCCCAAGATATCAGAGAAGAAAGTGATCTTTCCAAGGAGGCCCTGCAAAGTTCCAGGCAATGGGCTGAGGAACAAGAATCAAATCATTAATTCACACAGCCCAGGGGACAACAAGTCTAGCAGACTTCTTCCCACACCCAGAGCACAACGTTCACCCTCAGGATTAAACCTACAGATGGTACTTCAGAGAGTAGAGCTCATGTGCATGTGGGGAGTCTCCTAGAGGCCACTCGGTCTCCAACTGACACAGAAAGGAAAGGCCAATGTTATGGCTTATGTCTAGATGTCCCCCAGAGTCACATGCAGTCACAGATGGAACTTTCCAGAAGTGGCTGGATCTAGGGTCTTTGATGCCAGCTGGGATAAAGGGTGTAACACTAGGGCTAAGTGTGTGAGTGCTACCCACAAAGGTAGGTAGCCTAGATAAGATATAAAGGACAGAAAGGCTTGTCACTTGTTGCTTACTGCTTTTGCTATCTTCTGCCCGCCATAAACTACTTTTCCTCTGCTATGCCCCTCTGCCATGCTCTTCCACCTTGGAGCCAGCCAACTATGAACTGAAACCTCTACAAACTGTGAGCCAAATAAACCATTCCTCCTTTAACTTTGGGTATCAGATATTTTTGTCTCATCAATGAGAAACAGTAACCAATACACCCACTTTGCCCAAGAAAGAAATCACCAAAATCTCTACAGTCATAATGAGGCCCAACCTATGCTGGCAAGAAGGAGTATGTTCTTTACCCACATCTTTAACCATAAAGCATCTAAAGCAAAGCCTAGCAATCAACATGCTCGGCTCTTACACAAAATGTACAATCAAGCTCCTGTTCAGGGACATGCAACTAGGTAATCACAGGGACACATCTAGGTTAGCCATCAGTTTCAATCAGCCTACTCAATTTTGTTCATAAATATGGTCCAGTGCTGACAGATCATGAAAGTTGAGAAAATCCAATAGTAGGCAGAAATGCAATTCCAAGAAATTCAGCAACAACAAAGAACTTCATTTGTACAGGGCCCAGGAGAAGAAACAAAAAGCCGGTCTGCCCTTCCCATAAGCCAGCAATGGCCACACAGGGTCTGGGAGGAGAAATAAGAAGCCAATTAGCCCTTCCCATGAGGCAGAAACAGCCATGCAGGGCCCAGAAAGAGAAACAAAAACACTCCCCACCCTACCCCACCCCACCTCACCCTACTGGCCCTGGTAAGTAACTGGATAATTTGGAAGACCATAAGCTGAGTCGACAGCAACTGAGGTACAAAACAACTTAATGCCTGTATTGTTTGATTGGGCTTTGTAGGCCTGGAGCCAGCAGTCTGTCTATTTAGATAACAATAAATATAGCAACTATATAGGGGATTTCCCTCTGTATTGCTTTTGAAATCTAATATTGCTTTCACTATTTTGTTTCATTTTATTGTTTTATTTAATGTTCTCCTTTGATTGGTTTTATTCTGTTGTTTTGTTTGATTTTACTATATCTAACAGTACGCACAACAATTTTCAAAGACAACAAGAGGCACTGTGGTAGCCACTGTTGATTTCTATTATATTGTATTGAAGTCCTGTATCACTTTCACTGTTTGGTTTTGATTGACTTTATTTTATTTTGTTTGGCTTTATTCCCTTTAAAATAAAACTAAAAAAAAAAAAAACTTGCATTTGGTAACCTCAGAAAAAAAAAAAGGCAAACAGTATCTGTTAAAACAGTAGGCCAGGGGCTGGGGATTTAGCTCAGTGGCAGAAGAACCTGCCTTGCAAGCAGGTGGTTGTGAGTTCAATCCCCGGTACCAATTAAAAAAAAAAAAAAAACAGGCCATGTTTTGGCTTGTATCTAGATGTTCCCCCACCCCAAAGCCTCATGCGCTCACAGGTGAGGCTTTGCAGAGGTGGCTGGATCCAGGACAGTGGTGGCAAACCTATGGCATGAGTACAATGGCTGCAAGTTTGCTATCACGGAAAGCTCTAGAAGGTTCGCCATCACTGATGTAGGGTATGTGATACTGGGAGTAAGGGTGTATGATAAATAAACTGGCTTAGCATAGTTCTCAGTATGGATAATAGAAGGACTCCCTGGGCTTGAGGCCTGAACAGAATACAGAAGCACAGAGAAGAAGGCAGGCTCACTGCTGCTGCCCCTCCCTGCCACATCATGGACTGTTTCTCCTCCGCCACACTCCTCTGCTCTGCTGCCCTGCCTTGGGGCCAGCTGACTATGGACTGAAACCTCTATAAACCGTGAGCCAAAATAAACCTTTCCTCCTTTAGTTTGTGGGTGTCATGTATTTTGTCCCAGCAGCAAGAAAGTAACTAAGGCTGTTACTTATAAATAAAAATTTAAAAAAGGAAATCAGAAAATAAGCTTCTGAAAAATAAAAATAAACTAACTAATATAAAAAGGAGTGAATGAATAACAAAATGAGTAACAACCTGGTGATCTAAAGATAAAAATGGGAAAGAAACAGAATTACAAATGAGAAAAGTTGATAGGATGGAAAGAATCAGAATATCTCAAAAAGGAATTCTAAAGGTGAAGATGGAGACAAGAATAAGACGATAATTCTCTCTAAACTAAATGAAAGACACGTCTTTTCAGACACAAATGTCTACCAAGTATCCAAGAGGAAAACAAAAATGGGAAGGAAAAAAAAACACACTTAACAACTTAACTACTGGCTTGGTTTGTGGTTACTGAAAACAACTGTAAACATTTTAACACTTTAAAAATAAAATAAAAACTTAGGATGTGGACTGGCAGATAGGAGGCAAAATGATTAAGTGTCAAACTGGACATTAACTGCATGTCATAAAGTTGAGAAAAACAAGAAACAAATCAACCATGTGAAGTCACAAGCCTAGAAAAGGAAACTCAAGCTGGAATTTTATTTTGTTTACTCTGTATATGTATTAAATTTTAAAACAGCATTTAATGAAAATTTTGCAAAGACTCAACATACTGATGGCTTCTGAAGAGAGAAGATGGTGAGCAAAAAGAACAGGAGGGATGGGAGAAGGGAAGGAAAGGAGCAGCAGGGGCCGCCAGACTGGAGGAGGAAGGAGTTTAGCTGGTTAGACAACTCTGAAAGCAGGGACCTGGGCTAGTGCTGGCTACCGGGACACGGTACCAGCTGATGCTTCCTGCTGAGAGCCACCATGACACAACAGGCTAGCCCTCCCCCAAATGTGAGCAAGTGGATTTTTCAGGTACTGGAGATTAAACCCAGGTATACTGCACACACGTCTTTTTTAAGACAGGTCTCGCTAAGTCACTAAGTTTCTCAGGCTGGGCTTGAACTTACAGTTCTCCTGACTCAGTCTCTCAGAGGGCTGGGATTAAATGTGGTGGCTACCTACCAACAAAAAGGGGTTAAAACCCTTAACAATAAACTCTCCCTTGAAACAATCTTGACCAGCATATACTGAGCAGCCATAGGACAAGATGGTAATATTGAAAACCACACAAGACAAAAGCTTCCCAATGAATTCAGCCCATCTTTTCTAAAAGTTAATGTGCATAGATATCTCTACCTAAAGCTAAGAGGTTTTCTGTGATGCCAGAAGGAATGGTCTTGTCAATGTTCATTTTAAACAAACATTGCAAGACTTAACACAAGTGCTCCTGAAAAATCTACAAGAACCTAGATGACCTGCAAAAAACATCCTTGATACAACCACATTTCCTGCTTAGACACTTCTTCCTCATCCTCAAACCCTTATAAAAAGCCCCAATGTCTCACCTTCCTGGCGAGATCCCATTTTAGAAACTCATCCACTGCCTGGTGTGGTAGCGCATGCCTGTGATCCCAGTATTCACACTTGGGAGGCTGAGGCAAGAGGATCTGTAAGGTCAGCCTGCACTACACACATAGTGAGATCCTGTCTCTCAAAAGAGAAAGAAAGTCACCCACTGTCTTTTCTTACTTGCCCTGGTAAACTGTTATACTGCCTGTATCACCAGTCCTTCATAAGCCATCTTGCATGGCATTTTTCAATAAGCAGTGTTTTCACCATGAAGTGTTCGGGCCTGGGAAGATGCTGCTGCCAGTAGGGAAAATGACAGCCAACTTGTGTCCATCCTCCACTCACTTCTGAGTGTGCATCTCAAAAGGGAACACCTGCTCTTCAAGAGAAAGAACCACTTGGGTACCAGGGTACATCTTCCGCATACTTACATTGTTGATCAGGTAGACGCCCCGCCCCCTTGAAGAGGCCACTGGTTTTACTATCCAAGGTCCCCGGTCCTTAGAGTATGAATCTGCTCAAAATATTGGCAAATAAAAAGGGAGAGAGAAAGACAAAGAGAAAGAAGGTATATGAGTTTATTATCTTAAATTTTTAACAATGGTTATCTACTCAGGTACCTAAAACATCTTCTGAATTTCAAGTTTGGAGCAGCAGTTGAAATTTACCTGTAGTTTTGAACTAATCTTAAAAAGGAAAGGAGTAGAAGAAGGAAAGGATAGCAAAATTACTTATATAATTATTTCCTTCAACCACTTGCCCTCTTTCTTAACTAAGATGAAAACAAAACAAGGCAAAATCTGGGTGTTATGTTGACAATCTTCAGGAATCATCAAATTCTCACCTCTGCTGACTAATGGAGCTTCAGCAAACAGTAGCAAAGTCAGTCAAATGTTCTATCTCCAAATACAGTTACATGCCTTCAATTAGTGATTCCCAGCCTTGGGACCAGTTTTGTGGGAGACGGTTTTTCCATGGGTGGGATGAGGGGTGCTGCAGATACAGATGAAGTTCACCTCCTGCATGCAGCCCCTCAGAGCTTCTAAGGAAAAAAAATCAACTTCCTTAAGCCAAACAAAGGGCAAGTGGCAAGAAAGCACAATAATCTACAAGTGAGATTAAGAAGCATTTGTTCAGGTTTCTTTTCCAGGTCCAGCTTACATTTTTGCATTCTGAGAAGAGAAAGCAAACAGCTGATACTAAGACTCCCGAAGCTTGTACGTGCCAGAAACAAGATGGAAAAGAGAGGCTGGCTCTGCCTGAGCGAGGACGGAGGGCGGAGGGCTGCTGAGTTCTTAGCCCCACACTGGAGAGAGGGGAACTGGCACTAGCCTCGGACTTTGCCTTTTCCCATTCAGAGCAGACACCTCGGATGGCAGCAGTGCTCTACTGCAAAGTACGTAGGAAAAGTACAAAATGAAAAATTAAGATGCTTATGTTTTCTTGAGATTTTTCCTCTCTGAAAGAAGAGAGACAGGGAAAGACTAGATGTGTAGAGAATCAAATGAAACATCAGTTTCTGAATGGATGTCTCACAGCTTCCTTTTGCACACTGCCTAGGGCGCTGTGCATCAGGAAATTAGCACCACTTTCTCCAGAACACCGCAGCATAACCCCAGGCAAGTTCTGCCTGAATGCCAACTGCCTCCTCTCTTCTTCTAGATGAGCACACAAATGCCCTTATCATGAATCAGGCCTGCACCAGGCGGCAGGACCAATGAGCCAGGCTCAGCACCTCCCCCAGGTCACAGGCAGCAACTACTGCTCCTTTTCCTCCCTCTCCCACTGAAAAGGAGCCAAGCAGTCTCTTAGAGGCCTCCAAACAAGAAATGGACTTTGTCAGTGCCATAAACTATTTCAACCAGAGGAGGGGAAAATCGTTCTTCATCCACCCGCGCTCTTCCTCCCCTGCCTTTTCCCTTGCTGCAACTTAACAGCATTAGAAAAAAAAATGTAATGTGCCACAATAAAGCTCTACAAGTAGTTCTGCTTCTAGAACTCTATCCTCTGGTTCTAGTCACACATGGGAGACATGTGGTAGGCACCAGACTATGCAGTGCAGCCTTAATTAAATACATTACACTGCATCCACACAAGGGGTCAGCAAATTGCTTTTGGAAAAGCCAGACTATAAATATTTTAGGATCTCAGGGATGCAAGCTCCATTGGAAGTGTTCAACCCTGCCACCACAGCTCGACAATACACAGTGGTAAGCCAAAGCTGTATTTCTATGACACTTTATTTAAGGATGCTGAATTTCTTATCATTCCCACTTTTCACAAAATTTTATTCATTTCATTTTTTCCCCATCATTTAAAAATGTAAAAATCATTCTTAGTTCATGGGGTTCCCAAAAAGACCCAGGACTGATCTGACCCAAGGGATGTTAATCTGCAGACACCTGATCTAGACCACGGAATATTAATTAACTACTACTACACAGACCGATCTCCATGACAGCCTGCTAAGTGAACAAACGGATAGGCAATGGGTATTGTCATGTTCTCCTCTGTTCACATACACACCTACACTTTTAGCTAGCAAATGCCAAGACTATGTCTAGAAGGGCAGGCACAAAACCAGCAACAGGACTGGATCCAAAGAGGAAAAATGAGCGGCTATGAGGAGGAAGCAAGCTTTTCAGTGCTTATTGTTCTCTGTGTTTCTATATCATGGGAAGATACTGCCTTTCAAAAACTATAACATATAATTTTAAAGTTCTGCTACCAATGACAATTTTATAGGTACATATGATAAAAAATTAAATCTCCATAATTAAGGTCACTAAATATATGTATTTTTTTATTTTTTTCACCCCCCCCTTCTTCTGTATTTTTTTTAATATTTTGACATTTTAAGATACAACAAAAATTTTAAAGATTGCTAAGCTTCCTTCACTAATTCAATAGATTTTTTTTTTTTTTTTTTTTTTGGTATCAGGACCTTGGGAATATAGCTGAGTGGTAGTCCCTGCCTGGCAAGGTCATGAGTTTGATTCCCAGTACTAAAATGGAAAAAAAAAAAAAAAAAACGAACTCAGGACCTTTCATGTGCCAGGCAGGTGCTGGGCCACTCAGCCAGTTACCCCTGGTCCCTAAATAGTTGGGTCTAACCTGCATTAATTGGTTTTCTAGGTATAGGATGAATAGTAATGAAAAAGACAGGCTTTGCCTTCATGAAGATTAGACTAGCAGAAAAGACAGATAAAAAGTAATTATACAGACAGAGTTATAAGATGCTATAAAAATGTCTTAAAAGGGCCAGGCATTTAGCTCAGCTGCGCAACACCTGCCTAGCAAGAGTGAGGTCCTGAGTTTGATTCCTGGTAAACACCCCCCCCAAAAAATGTCTTAAAAGCTGGGTGTGGTGGTGGACACTGTATTCCTTGCATTCAGAAGGCTGAGCTTGTCTCAAAAAAAAAAAAAAAAGGCAGCAGCTCATAATTCTGCTGTTGCCATGTTCTTGAAATTCTAAATATTAAAGACTTGTTCTTTGCACATTAATTTGTGACACTTCAGAACAAAGATCAGTTTCTTTCACAGGTGCTAAAAATTATGGTGGTAAAGCAAGCAAAACCAGAGGTGAGTGCAGGGCAGCAGCCCAGGAGTCTGCCTAGCTAAAGATGTTCTAGGCGGTCCTTTAATGCTTTCAAGTGCCTTCCGGTCTGACAGGCAACATGCTTGGTCTCACAGGAAGAACACTAACCCCAAGTAGGAAGGAAGGAAGTGTGAGTCCTGATGCTTGCTTTTCAAGCATATGACCCCACAGGCAATTTGCTTAACTTAGTCTAATCATTAAAATGAAGGGCTTCATTGGATTTGCAAAGATTTCTTATAATTCTACAATTACTATTGGAGAAGTTTCCAGGTATTTGCAATCAACTGGCCAACATCAAAATTTTGTTCATATCTCAGAATCACTCCTCAGCTGCTCTTGTAACTACAGGTGGCCACGGAACACAATTCTGGAACAAGTTTTCCCTTCTACATTGGTGGCCCTCCCCCAGTCTAGAAGATTGGGTATAAGCACTGCTCAGAGCTGCCAGGGACACCAGCCAAAGTGGTCTCAGGAGCTTGAGCTTTCTGTCCTAACCAGAAAATAATCTTAAATCCACTACACAGAGATCCAGCCCAGACATGAACCGCTGTTTTCAGACACGTGGAAGGCCTGGCTGCACCCCGCACCATCTCCAATGACTAGAGGGTGGGAGTTGGCAAAAGCAGCACAGGACCGTCTAGGTTCCTGGGAGCCATCACCACCACTCACCTCCTCTTTGTTGTTTCCTTCTTTCTGCTTAGAAAGCTGTCCACCTGGCAGAAGTGCTAGCACTGGCCACAGCTCCTTATTCAGGCCCACAGACCTTCTGTTCTACTACTCATTCTTAAGTGTTCACATTGACAGCACATGAGGCCACTTTGGCTGGTTCCCTCGTGTCCTGAGCAAGCCTCCAGTCCAGTCCTCATCAGTTCTCTTCAAAGCCCCTTCGGCGGCTATGCCAATTGCAATCCCTTTCTGTCCCTTTCACTTGTCCAAATCTATACCTCGGCTTCTGACTCTCCACACGGGTTGACCTGATTTCCTTCCTTACCTACGAGGCTGGAACTCCACACATAAACCTAACCTGTGTGCCACTCCATCTAAAGCTGTATCCGGATCAGCACTGTGCATTCTTCTAAGGGAAGACACGCCCACCTCATTCTCAACACCCTGCCTCCCAAGACCTCCCCCACTGCTCCTTGTCCCTCTCTCAGCCTTGTTCTCTGTGAGGCTTCTGCTCTCTTTTTCTCTCCCTTAGCAATCACTTCCATCTGCAGCCTCCAGTCTGTATCTCTAGCCAAACACAAAGCTGCTTTACAAGTGCCTGCAAAATATCATTACATGAAAAAAAATTATATATATATATATATATCACTACATGCTTGCCCTGGAGGCCTCAACGCTGTACCATGTCCAAACTTCACACTCCTCTCTCCCCTGTCATGGCTTCTCCTCCTTGTGTTCCTGGTTATGTTTCCTGAGTAAAGGCTTCATGACCAGGACAGAGTGCGGTGGCACATGCCTATAGTTCCAACTACTTGCGAGGCTAAGGCATTTGAGTCTAGGAATAAGGTCAGCCTGGGCAACACAGAGAAAACCCGGCCAAAACAGAAAACAAAAACAAAACACTTACCGAGCCCTGGCTTCTCAGACTCAGTGTTTGGAGGCTCCTTTCATTCTCACCCTCGGCTGCCCACCTGGCTAAGAAGTCCTCTCACTCTGTGCACTCACACCTGTGCATTCCCACGGCAGTGTTCTGTCCATCCACACTTACCCATGTCACTGCCTTTCAAAGCAACCACCACCTTTCTTTACTTTTTTAAATTCATTTCAATTTTTTTTCTTTTTTCTTACTTTTTGAGACAAGATCTTGCTCTGTAATTCAGGCTGGTCTTAAACCCACTACATAGTCTATGATGGCCTCAAACTCATGTCCATCCTCCTGCCTCAGCCTCCTGAGTGCTGGGATCACAGGGAAGCACCACCATGCCCAGCCTGCGTCAGTTATTTTCCTAAACACCAGTCCAGCTGTATCCCTTTCCTTCTCAACAATCTCCGAATTCCTGTACTCACTAAGTGCTGCAGGATCCAGAACACAAGAGTCTTTGGGCTTGCACACACTTGATGGATGTGAAAGGAAAGGAGGGGAACTTGAAACAGATTTTACAAGGAAAAGGAATGTCTCCTTAGCAGAGAGCTCTAATATGTAAACTCAGCAACACATCCAACGATGCTGGACTCTTTCCTAGGCCCTGGACAAGTGGCATAGCATGAACACAGCCCGGAAAGACTGCACCCAAGAGGATTCCTCTTGACCAGCTCATCTTCCCTGCCCATCCCCTTCCACAGTAAGTCCCTGCTATGTCATCGGGTGGCAACAGCAGTGAGTGGTTTGAACTGGGGACCAAGAAATTTCACTTTGCCTACATGTGGTGGCTTGGGTTATGGCAAAATGCGATTCATCCTATTTATCTTTTGAGATCTTTTTTTTTTTTTTTTTGAAAAGTGGAAGTCATAAGAGTTTAAATAAGAGGCTGAACAAGCAGTTCCATGGAGAACCAGGTCAGGCGAGAGCTGACAGAGGAACTCTTACTCTAGCTCATCACCTGATGAGCAACCCATCCCCTGCCACTGCTCTCTGCACTTCACTGCAGGCAGAAGAGGGACAACAGCGGGAGGAGAAAGGGGCCTCCCACCCACCGAGACCCCGGCAGACTCTCGCAGAACGTTACTCCTTAAGGATTCAACAAAGGAATTCAGGTCTGGAACTTTTTATATTTCTGCATGTTAGCTGAAGCATTATTATTATCTTAAGATAAGCACATAAGCTGCTTCTAAGATTTAGCTGTCAACAGCCTGTGCTACCTTATTGATACTGGGAGTTGAACTCAGCTTTGTGCTTGCCGGGCAGGCACTTATGCCACTGAGCTATATCCCAGGCCCCAAGCAATGCTACTTTAAACATGGGTATGCACGTGTCTGTCACAAGATGCCTTTAACCCTTTTAGGAAGATACTCGGAAGAGGAATGTCTAGATCACATGGAATTCCTAGTTTTACTTATTTGAGAAATCACCATACTGATTTCCATAGAGGTTGTACCAAGTTTACATTCCCACTAACAATGCAGAAAGGGTTCCTTTTCCCTCCTGGCCTTCCCAGCCTTTGTTATTTGATTTCCTAATGATGGCCATTCTCTCTAAAGTAAGGTGGAATTTCAGTGTCGTTTTAATTTCTATTTCCCTAATGACCAGAGATGCTGAACATTTTTTCACTTATTTATTAGCCATGTGTACATCTTCCGCAAAGTGTCTGTTCATCCAGATGCCCATTTTTCTTCCTATTCTTAGAGAGATCTGATTTTTTTTTTTTTTTTAGTTCTTTATATACCCTAGATACTAGACCTCTGCCCAAGATTAGCTGTCAAAAATTTCTTTCCCAGTCTGTAGGCTGTCTCTTCACTCTGTTGATTGTTTTCTTGGCTTCAATCATATATAATGCAACTTGTTGATTCTTGGTGTTATTTCTTTGTATCACTGGGGTTCTGTTTAGAAAATCCCTGCCTATGTCTCCATCTTCAAGAGCTCTACATATTATTCTACCTTCAACAGATTATTTAACATTTTGATCTTTGATGTATTTTGATTTCAGTTTATTATATGATGCAAGATATGGGCCTAGATTCAATCTTAGGCATGTGGACAGCCAGTTTTCCCAATACCATTTGTTAAAGATGCTATCTCTTCTCCAATATAATTTTTCGCCCCTTTGCCAAGGATCAGACAGCTAAATGTAGCTAGAGTTGTTTCTGTATCCTCTATTCCATTGACTCACATGGCTGTTTTTGTGCCAATACCATGCTTTTTTTTTTTTAATCACTGTAGCTTTGTAATATAACTTGAAGTCCAGGATTGTGATGCGTCTGCTTTGCTGTTGTTGCCCAGGATTGCTTTTACTATTCTGGATCTCTTCTCATTCCATATGAATTTTAGAACTGTTTTCTCTAGTTCTGTATGGAATACTATTGATATTTTGATTGAGGATTGCATCAAATCTGTGTATCAGTTTTGGAAGTGTCTTAGTTACTCTTCTCTTTGCTGAGACAAAATACCTGACACCCAAAGTTAAACAAGGGAAGATTTATTTCAGCTTGTGCTTTGTAGAGGCTTCAGTCCTTAGTCAGCTGTCTCCAAGGGAGGGTGGCATGGCAGAGGGGCATCACAGAGGAGAAACAGTCCATGGCAAAGCAGGCAGGAGGCAACTAAGCACCAGAGCATCTGCTTTCTCTTTTTTATCCCACATAGGCTTTTGGGTGGTGCCACCCATACCTAGGGTGGGGTTTCTGTCCTCAGTAAATCCACATCCAGTAAAGCCACATCCAGAACTATTCTAATCAGTGGACTAACGTAGAACCACACATATCTAGATGCAGCTAGCTCCAAAAGCTCTACCTATGAGTACAAGTCCTAACAGGAAGTATACACATTTTGACAATATTGGTTTCTAACAAGATAAAAGTCCTAACAGGAAGTATACAGATTTGACAATACTGATTCCTTCTATCCAAGATCAGGGCATGTCTTTCCATCTTCTGATGTTTTCTCTGATCTCCATTTTCAAATTACTTAGTTTTCCTTGTAGAAGTCTTTCAGTTCCTTGATTAGGTTAATTCCTAAGTAGTTCATTTTTCTAGATGCCATTATGAAAGGTTTTGCTTTTATAATTTCTTTCTCAATGAGCTTGTTATTGGTGTACAGTAATGCTACTGATTTTCATATGTTTATGCTACTGAATCTGGTGATTCTCGGTGTCTTTTAAGCAGAATGTTTTGAGTCTTCCACGCAGAGAGGCATAACATCTACAAATAATAATAACCAATTTCTTCCTTTACTAATCATAGCCTCTTTGTTTCTCTTGCCTGATGGCTCTTGCAAATATTTTGGGCATAGGTACCTTCCCTGTACTTGAGTCTCTGGGACTACCAAGTTTAGATGCAGCGGTGGCACTGAGGCGGAGGTGTCACATACCTTAGCTCCTCAGGGAGGGCCTGGGAAGGTAAGTTTATGATGAGGCAAAAGAAATACACCCATTTTAGATCTGAATCCAGACCACATCTTCCTGTATCACTTTACCAGCTATACAGCTGACATTTAGATCCTGCTTTAACTCTCATATATATATATATATATATATATATATGTATTTTTATTGGTCTAAATTCAAAGGAGAGAGGGTTTCCCTAGCTGGTATCTCCAAAGCCTAACATCAAAAAGACTTAAAGAAATAGAATACATTTACCCCAAAGAATATAAATCATGAACTGTTTCGCAAATGAAAAGGAGAAAACGAACATCAGAAAATAAGCATGCGTAGCTACGTGCAGAAGTGTGAAGTGCCCTTATGTAGGCACTGACTCTTACAGACGAGACATTCGAGCAAACTACACAAGCCAGGGCTCATCTGTATGATGCTGATGTCTCCTTACACAGACGGCACTGTCACCTTACTAACAATGAATGTACAAGTACATAATCAGAGGTTTAGCTCCATAACTGTTTTACTAAAGATTCACAATTCCTCTAAGATTTGAAAAGCCTGAAATGGTTGATAATGTACAGCAGCCTTTGCCGTGACTCTGCCCAGTAATTGTGCCTCAGCTCAGGTGCAGAGGGTAGGTACTCTCCACTAAGCACTTACTACAGAATTCCGCGTACTCAGCTGGCAGAAGGAAGGTCTGAGGGAGGATGTGAAAAGCCTTGAATCCATGTGTATGCTGCATTCGAATGATGTTTTTGTACAGCCGGTCCTTCCGGGTTAGTTCGTAAGACCTAAAAACCAGAAAAGTATTTCTATTTCAGCAAAATCTGACTCGGGGGTTTTCCTGGGCTGTCACACTGAGGAGCTCATAGTTCACCATTCTGGAGCACCGACTCAAGTCCTGACAGCCCAAATCTTTCACTTCCTTAACACAAAGGTACCAACCACTTCCATGAAATGAAAGTTTCTGGCCAGACTTACTCAGGTCTGGTGATGCACACCTATAATCCTAGCATGCGAAAGGGTGAGGCAGGAGAATCACTGATGGCAAAGGAGAATCAGGAGATATGCACACCTATAATCCTAGCATGCGAAAGGGTGAGGCAGGAGAATCACTGATGGCAGGAGAATCACTGATGCCTACACCACATGTAGGCAAAGTTCATGGGAAGCCTGGACTACATGGTGAGTTTGTTGTGTTTAATTTTTTTTTTTTTTTTTCAGATGGGGTCTTACTATGTAGTTCAGTCTGGTTTTGAGTTCACTATGTAGTCCAGACTGGACTCGAACCTGCAGTGATTCTCCTGCTTCAGCCTCCCAAGTGCTGGGATTACAAGTGTGCACTACCATGCCCGGATGCATAGTGAGTTTGAGGTCGGCCAGAACTATATTGGGAGACCATGCTGCAAAAATAAACAAACAAATAAACAAACAAACAAACAAACATAAAATAAGATAAATAAATAAAAACAAGATATAAGTACAATGAAGTTTCCCCTTTTGGTGTACCATTCTGAATTTGGAAAAATACATACAACTAGGCACTGACCACTATAATCAACACGTACAATTCTGATACTCCAAAAGTGCCTCAAGTTTCCTTGTATTTAACCCCTACATTCACTGCCAGACCCCAGGGAAACAGTCATCTCTTTTCAGTCCCTACACTTTTGACTTTTTCAGAAAAACAAAAAATAGAATCATCTGGCATTTATCTTTGTTTTGTTGCTGCTGCTTCCTTTTCAGTACTGGGAGTTGAAGCCAAGGCCTTCCCACTGCTACGTGCCCTTCACCTCCTTTTATTTTTGAGACAGGGTCCTCTGTCCTTTCAAAATGGACTTATTTCACTGGGTACAATACCCTTGGGATTTATTCTTCTTGTTGCATATAACAGTATTTTCTCCTTTTTTGGATCAGTAATGACTGACAGCATGAATGTGCCAATTTGTGTCTTCATGGGCTGAAGGACATTTGTGTTGTCTCTAATTTGGAGAGATTATGGATTAAATTGCTACAAACAGTCATATACATTATTTAGGCAAATTATTTGTTTTTTAGGCAAACATTTTGATTTTTCTAGGAGTGGGACTACTAGGTTGTTAAGTAAATTATATTATTTATCTATCACAGTATAATAAGTAGTCCTAAAATCTAAGACTTGAAATTACAAAACACATTTGTAACCCCACACAGTTTCTGAGGGCTGGGAAGGAGGGATGACAGAGCTGGGTAGTTGTAAGCTCAGAGTCTGTCATGAGATTTCAGTCAAGACCATGGCCAGTGCTGACTGGGGACAGAGGACCCGCTTCCCAGATGGGCCTCGTTCCCCTCCATGTGAGCCCTTCCACAGGGCTGAGAGCCTCCAGGAGCTAACAACCAGTACATAACTGCAGATCCAGAGATCCAAGAAAGGAAGCAAGAAAGAAGCCGTGAAGTCTGCTGTGACCTAGTCTCAGAGTGACACCATTATTTCTGCCACTTTCCACTTACTCTGGAGGTAAATTACTAAGCCCAGTGGACACTCAAGAACAGAAAAATTTAGCTCAAAGTTTTGAAGGCAGTGTCAAAGAATTAAAGGACACATTTTACAGTCACCATATAACAACATGTTTAACTTCAGAAGACATTGCCAAATGGTTATTCTGAGAATATCGGAAAAACAAGCTCAGTGCCTCCTACCATTCTCAGAGATAGAGGAAATACCACAACACAAGCCAGCTGGTTGTTCTCTGATTCAGCTCGATTCTGATACCGCCTACCTGAAGATACCATCGTATCTCATCGTCTCCGTCCCTAAGCCTGCTCCTTCCTTCAGGTGCCACTTATAAGGCCCAGGTTGTTTTATCTGTGCTTCTGACTGACCAGCACTCATTAGGCAGGGTACCAAAGATTGTCTCCTTGGGTTCAACTGATGTGCTTCAGTGGGCCACAGAACCTGCTGCATTTCCGGATTTATTACCAAGGATACAAACAGGGGTGCATAAGGCAAGGCATGAAAGAAGAGCTCAGAGCTTCCATGCCCTCTTCCAGCATACCACCCTCCAGGACACTCCAGGTGGGGAGCTTCCTGGAAGCTCTCCAAACCCCATCCCTTAGGGGTGGAATCAAAGCTCCCTTAGGCAGGCGTGATGGATTAAATTACTGGTCACTCACTAGAGATCAACAGAACCTCCAGCCCCTTTCTCCCTCCAGGAGGCTGAGAGGCAGCTACAAGTCCACCCTCTAATGGTGCTCGGTCTGTTCCTTACACAGGTCCCGTCTGCAAGCTGGCAAAGGGCCAGGTCACCACTGGCTTCACCAGCATACAAAAAGTCACTACCTTAAAGATTTCATGGATTTTAGGAGCTATACAGTAAGAACCAGAGATTTAAGGCTCAATACAGATTTCACAGTATCATATTTTACATCACCACCAGTAACATTTACTATTCTACTTGCACTGCATCCTACGCAGCACTGGGGGGGTCTGTTCTTTTTTTCTTTTTCCTTTTTATCGGTACCGGGGATCGAACTCATGACTGCCTGCTTGCAAGGCAGGCACTTATGCCGCTGAGCTAAATCCCCAGCCCTGGTCTGTTCTTTTTTAACCATCCTCATAGTTATATATTAGCACTTCATGTGTTTCTAATTTGCATTCCACTAATGACTAATAATGCTGGGCATCTTTTCATGTCTTTATTTGCCATAAGTATATCTTACATGAAGTACCTAAATCTTTCGCTCACTTTGAAAAATTGGTTTATTTTCTTGTTATTCAGTATTGTGAGCTCATGATAAGCGCTGGATACATATTCCTTATTGTATATGTGTTTTGCAAGTATTTTCTCTATTTCACAATTTTCTTTTCTTGGTACTAGAAATTGAACTAGTCCTTCATGCTGAAGTACATTTTCAGCCCTTTTCTTAATCTTCTATTTTGAAACAGGGTCTCACTGAGTCACTAAATTGCCCAGGCGGGGCTTCAATTTGTGATCCTCCTGCCTCAGCCTCCCAGACTGCTAGGCTCTCAGGCCACACCACCAAATCCTACTGATTTTCTTTAACAGTGTCTTTCAGATAACACACACTCCTAATTTTGATGAAGTCTAGTTTATCATTTTTTTCTTTTATGCATTATGTTTGTACAGCAAAAAATTTTTTATCTAACCCAGGATCATAAAGATTTTTTTCTCTCTACAAATTTTAGTTTATGTTTCATATTTAGGTCTGTAATCTTTTTTCCAAATGGGCTTTTAAATACTGAGTTATAAATAAAAGAGACTTATAAGAATAAAATCTATTCTAAAGCAAATTTTGAATATAAATAAGCAAAAAAGACTGTTTTGATTCTAACCTTTAATAAATATACTCAAAATTTTAGGTTATAAAAACAAAGTAAGCTGGGCATGGCAGCACACACATAAAATCCCAGCATTCAGGAGGATGAGACAGGAGGATCACTGCAAGTTTGAGGCCAGCCTAGCCTACATAGTGAGTTCAAGGCCAGTTGGAACTACATAATGAGACCTTGTCTTTAAAAAAACAAAAAGAAAGAAAGAAAGGAAGAAGGAAAAGACCACAAACCTAAATACACCATAAGTAGGTGTGGAGGCTTGTTTCACTGTAAGTTTGAAGACAGCTGGACTGCAGAATGAGTTCAAGTCAAACCTGAACTACAGAGCAAGATCTTGTCTCAAAACACTGAATGTATGAAAGAAATTCCAGCTTCATAAAGCTTCATCAACAAAGTCTGTACCTATGCACTACCACAAGTCACTATGAAACATTTTAGGAAAGCTGCATGTCTTATTTTAATTGAATCACAACTCTCTAATAGTATAAAAAAATATGAGGGGCCGGGGATTTAGCTCAGCAGCATAAGAGCCTGCCTGGCAAGCACGAGGTTGCGAGTTCGATCCCTGTACCAAAAATAAAAAAAATAAAAGATATGGAGTATTTAAGTAATGAAAAACATTAGTATACCAATAGACAAGTTCCAAAGCCAAAGCGTTCTGGACAGAAGGAAAACCAGATACTGGAAAATGCCAACTTGGCAAGGAGAAAGTACATTTCCAGGAATGAGGAAGGAACGGGAAGGAAGATTAGAAGGTACAGAGAAGTGGGAGAAATGTGAGCACAATGCAAAGACAAGAATGAAGCAGTGTGGAATCTGAGCCAGCCCCTGGGGAGGGGAACCTGTCTCCGCCCCCAAGGTGAGAAGTCAGGCCTGGTGCGCTTGTCTCTCAGACTGGCTGGGTCCAAAAGTGCTGGCATTAAGTAAAGCAGGCTGCTTGCATCCAGCACAGATCAGAGGTCTGACTGCTTCCCCATCTACTGAGCGAGGGGACACGCTGTGGCTTAGACTGTCGCCACAGCCCAAGGTAAAGAGACAGAGAGCCTCTGGAACAGGAGACATCTCACAAACCACAGGCCATGAAGCCAGGCAGAGAAAGCTGTAGCTTCCTGGATTCCAAACTACAGATCCTAGGAAGAAACCACTCATTCAAAAATACAGAGAAAAATAAATGTTCTTCATCCACTTTGGATTCATCTCTTGGTTTTTCACTAATGGCAGGTGGGACAAGGGTATCTTTCTTTTGTTTCTTGCTGTTTTTTTTTTTTTTTTTTTTTTTTTGATAGGTAGTCTATGTAGTTCAGACTGGCCTCAAACTCCTGAAATCCTCTGCCTCAGCCTCCCTAGTGCTGCAATTATGGGCATGAGCCTGGCTCTTTTTTCATTCCTTTATTCTTCTAAATTTCTCATTTTCTTTTTCAAAAACTCTATTATTTTTAACTTTATTATTTTTCTTAG